GAACTAAATTATTAATCTAATTAATATATTAACTTCTATATAAGTAATATAGATAGAAAAGTATTTAAAGGATTAATCTTTAGTATATATAACTTTTAAATAGAAGTAGAACTTTATAAATAAATAGGGGAGAAATAAAGAAGTAGAAGGAATAGAGGTTATCTCTAAACTAAACTTATAACTTATTAGTATAAGTATAAATATATTTAGAAATATAGTATATATACCTATATAGTATAAGGTTATAAATAGGTTTATATTATAATAAAAAGTAATAATCCTAAGTATTTATAAGTATTTAATTATATAGATAATAATAAGGGAATTAATATATTATTATAACTTTAGTTATTATTTTTCTTAAGTTACCTCCTCTAGTAGGGAAAAGTGAGGGGAAAGATAACCTAAAATATAACCTACTAAACTACTAATTATATAAGGTATTTATATAACTATATATATTATATAATTAATATTATAGTTATAGGTTATAATAAATAGAGTATTTTTATATAAGGTTTAGTACCTTAAACTTTATTTGTTTATTTTATATAGAATATTAAAGTAAGTTAAGCGTTATTATNTTATTATATTACTTAGGTTAGAAATAGTAGTTATACTTATCTCCTATATAGATTTTATAATAGTTAAAGAAATATTATACTTAAAAGAGGTATTAATAGTTAGGGTTAGTAATTCTAAAGTAGGAGTAATCTTTAATTCTAAATTATAAGGTATAATATATTTTTAGCTCTATATTAGGTATACTATAAAGTTTAATAAACTATTTATTATTATATAGGTTAATTTACTTATATATAATTTACTTAGGTATATTATCCTTCTTAAATTCCTCTTTAGAGTTAATATTATCTATACTAAAAATAAGTTTATAAGTAATCTCTACTTAAGTATATTAGTATATAATATTATAAAGTTTATCTAAGTTATAAAGAGAGCTTTCTCTTTTTCTAAAAGTTTAATTATTTATAAGATTAAATAGTTACTATTTATCTAGAGGGTTATATTAGTAATTTAGTTTATTATTAGATTCTCTCTATATTTATTCTTAGAATTCCTAATTAATTTATTTAATTCTAATAGGATTTCTATATATCTACTTTTTTTATTCTATATATAAGAGTATAATACTAAGTTATTTTTCCTAAAATAAGTTATAAAGTTCTTTTTAGATCCTTTCTAAATATATTTCTTTAATTACTTAGAGGTATAAGAGTTTCTATTTATTATTATTCTTTAATTCTTTAAGTATTATATAAGTAATTTAATTTAGGAGTTTATAATTAGTTTAATCTTAGCTATTAGTTATTTTTAGAATAGAACTAGGAATTAGTTAAAGTTATTATATTTATAGTATCTTATTTAGTTATTCTCTAGTTTTCTTTTAAATCTTATTATTATTAGTATATATTATTACTAGGGTTTTTAGATATATATCTAAGGTAATTATATTATATTTAAACTATTTAGAGTTATTATCCTTTAAGTAATATTTTAATATTTCCTTATCTTTAAGATAAATTTAGTAGTTATTATTATAATATTTAGTTTAAGATTAGGATATATATAGAATTTTAGTAATAATATTAACTTATTAGAGTTATTTAGTTATTAGTTTCTAAGGAAGTTTTTTAAGCTATTTATAGTTTCTAATAATATATTCTTATTTATTATAGTTATAATACTTAAGGTTTTAAGGCTTTTTATTATTAGGTTTAGTTATTATATTAAGATCTATAAATCTACTATATTATCTATAGGTAATACTTTAATAGGTATTATAGTTATTATAAGGTTTATTATTATTCTACTAGGAGTTAAACTTCTATTAAGGCTACTATTAATATTTATATTTAGAGTTTAATCTTTATTATTTTTCGCCTTTTTCCTTATAGTATTTAAAAAGTTAATTATTAATTTTAATAATAAGGTTAGTATATTAAAAAAAGTTTTTAAAATAGTTAATCTTAATAATCTTATTTTTAACTTTATTTTTAAGTTCTTAATAGAATATAAAGATCTTAGTTTTTTTAATAAGGTGAAGTTAAATACTAAATTATCTAAATATAGTAATATATTCTTTAGTTAATTTTATTTATTATAGTTATATAAGGTCTCTCTTAGTTTATTATTTCTTATTAGGGTTTTAGNACTTTATCTATTATAGCTATATAAGGTCTCTCTTAGCTTATTATTTCTTATTAGGGTTTTAGAAAAGAGAGTAGAAGGTATCTTTAAATCCTTTAAAGCTACTATAAATATTATAGGTTTTAGTAGAGTATTTATTTAAGGTTTTATATTTAAGGAACTCTTCTTAGATAGGTTTAAACTATTTAAGGGCTTATCTTTATAAGTAAGTAGTAGTATAAATAACTTTCTCNTTTAGTTAATAAAGTTTCTATAATAAAAGTTCTAATAAGTTTTAATTTAAATTAAGAATAACTTAAGTTATCTAGAAGTACTATTATAAATAATTAAAATATTAAGTTTAAGTTTCTATTATCTTCTAATAAGAGTTATAATAATATTAATAACTATATATAAAGTATAGATTTCTTCTTAAAGTTCTTTAATATTAATATTACTATTTTATCCTCTAAGTTAAATAACTTTATTTTCTAAATTTATAATATACTAAGGGCTATTTCTTAGTTATTATATTATTTCTTTAAGGCTTTAAAGTT